AAAATGATTGAGTAATTAATTGATTAAAATATTGAATCGATTATCTGTTGAGTTATTTTGAGTAAAATAAAATTCTTATCTCAAAAACCATTTGATAGTTAGTTTTTAAAAGATTTGAATAATTAGATGAATGACTGAATGGCACCAAAAATTGTTGAATAGTTCTTTGAACTAAGATCTTTGAAAATATTTAAAGTTTTTATCTACACATATAATTTATATATTTCGATTAACTTTAAATAAACTAAATATTCATTACTCGAATGAGCACTAGATATGATAACAAATGATTTTTAGTATTTCAAACATTCTCATAATTTGTACTGAAGATTGCATTAATTGACAATAAGTTTGATTATAATTGAATTTTGCAAATAGTATTTATGTGCCAAAACTGAGAGCAACGAAACTATTGCCGGCTCTTCACGAGAACAAACCATTCAAAAACAGATTTCAAGCAAAACAAAAGTTTCAAACTTTAAATATATTCGTCAACCGATTAATAAAGACGACAACGAAGACGACGATGAAGTGAATGACGGGGTGGCAGAAGAGGCCACAAAACTCAATGTAAACACAATCACATGTCGTCCCGTATCGGAGGCGTCGTTAGTCAGCGAAATGAGTGTCTCGAGCGGATCCCTAAGTGATCCCAACTCTCCGATGTGTAAAATATGTCACATGAATGCTAAGGACAACGATCCGCTCATCTCTCCATGTAGGTGCTCGTCATATATATATATGAAATATATATATATATATATATATGAAATAAAAGTGCAATTTTTACATACATTACATTTTTATTCAATTCTTAAGGTAGATGCAGTGGCACCATGCAATACATGCACTGCGGATGTCTTATGGTATGACCACTTTTCATCTATTATGCATTGTCACTAGATTCACATTTATTTTAATATCTTTTTCTTTATTGTAATGCATTTCAATTAGAGTTTTTTAGTTTTCTTCAAATATCGACTTTTCAATTTAATTACATTAATTTTATAGCAATCGATAGCATTATGTAATTCTCATATCTCTTATGTTTATATATAGAGATGGCTTGAGATCACATCTAAGAAGTCACGCAAACCCTTAAGCTGTGAATTATGTCAATATCAGTATCAGTGGCACAAAAAATTTAAGGTTAGTGTCATCTCAACCATTATTGTTTGTCAATATGTTTTTTATTCATTTGCTATCAATATTGAAGTCGAGTGGAACTGATCTCGACTTTTGATATGATTTATTATTTTTCATTGTATTCATGATTTGAAAATACTGTATAACATTTAAAATATTTTTCTATAAGAATAATTGGAAACAGAAAATGTAAATTGTGTTAAACTCTTATTACACCCAAAAACACATTTAAAATATTTCAAACAATCAAAACCTCGTTTTGCGAAAAATTGGATTTATGTTGAATTTCCTGTAATTTTACTTATTTCGCTCGTTTTCGCCCCATCTCTCCATTTGCTTAATTAGTTTATTGTAATTTGTTTTTCTTAATAAATGATCAAAAAGTAATCTATTGATTTAAGTATAATATTTTTTGAGACCCATTTAACTATTTTAAGAGAGGGGTTGTAAATACAGGTTACAGATGATGGCAACTCTACTTAACCTCTTGTTATAATGATTAGTGTTTCGGAACTAAAATCCATTTTAACAAATATTATTAATCCGTTATCTAGAACATATTTCTTCTTTAAAACTTTAATTTTTAAATACATTTTATAAGTATCACAGATTATTAACTGAGAATTATTTCATATTAGAAAGTATTTCATGAGATTACCGTATGTTTGTATAAAATCGTAATCTTCTGTTTCATAACAAACGATTCATTACTTTTATTTCATTTGAATTTTTACTTTTGAAATCTTGTTTTTTTGTCGTCCGTTTCTTTAATTAATAAATTATATACGTTTATCTCATTTATAGATTTAGCGATAAAATGCTTTTGAAATACATTTTCACACAAACCATTTCAAAGTCTCTCACCATATAATTTTTATTATTTTTATTGCCTAATCTTTTTTATATAGCTTTGATATTTTAATTTAATGGCAATTTTTATCGCTTATTATCAAATATGTTTGTTTTTTAATTTACATTTATTTCCGCTAAACTATCAACTGAGTTTCCAATGAATACAAATAACTAGGGAATAAAATATTTATTTAAATCATTTAAATTTACTTAATTTAAATCATTAAGTTACTATTACTATAATACTATTATTTAAATTTATATTAAAATTATTTTTAAACATAATCTCAATATAACTTGATTACTAACTTATACTGTATAACCCATGATTGGTGTGACAGGTCAACCACTGGCAGTTCCCTCACTGTTCCCGAAACGACAAGATATTACACTCGCTGTTTGTCGTGTCATTGAGTGTTATGGCCTGTTGTGCGGTCATAACAGTGATGTGCTTCAAGCAGGACAGGGGTCAGCGCATAGACCCCAACCGGACGGAGTTGTCTCAGTCCGAAATAGTGACACTTATTTGCGGAGTTCTCTTCTTCCTAGCATTTTTCATGTAAACAATTTCATCAGTGACAATTATGTTTCATTGTATTCAATGAATGATATGTTATGTATGTGTTTATAGGGCAATGTATGTGGAGGTGAAGGCGAGGAACACGATATATAAATTGTTTGTCAAGTTCATTTACCTAAATCAGCAATGGTATATCGATGAATACGACAAGAAGGACTGCGCGCCCGTTCATGTATGACATCAACTGCTATCTAATCACATCCCTGTGTCGGCGGACATGTCGTGTCTCACACGTCGAAGTAATACAAATCCATTTTTAACACATTTATATAACTATGCAATTCGTGAGACAGTATTCAAAATACTTATACTTTTTGACATAATTTATTTGGACGCAAACTTATTTATTATATCGTAATTAGATTTAAATTTGGAAAACAAATTAATTTTTTCATTCAATGCTATATTTGGCTATTGATTGTATGGAAGTCTTACCAAACAGACAGTGCACTTGATTTTGAGGTCTTTATTGGTTGGGGCTTTGAGTTGAGGGCAATCACAACGAGACAATTGAGACAATTAACTAATTTTTTATACAATCAAATCAATTGTGTAATTATTATTTATATAATATGTAAAATGCAATCCAAACTGAATTTATACAAAATAACAAATATGTAAATACTATTCTAATACTTCATCGTTACATCAATCATTTGTACACTTTTCATATATACAACAAATTGTGAAATATATACAAAATATACATAAATTGTAGGAAAGAAAGAAAATATATATTGAAATCAAAATTTTGTAAAAAGTAATTTCCAATAGAAATTAAGTAAACCATTAGTTGGTGTATAAGAAGATTCAATCGATTCAATAGAGTTTGTTTGCAAACGAGAGTCATATTTACATTTCATAAGTTATTCATTGTTTTTAGTAAATCACTCGTAAATATAACTTATTTGCTATTCATTTGAAAGCAACAAAAAATTCTTTGTTTCTCTTAGACAGGCATTAGTTTTGATGTTAAATATTGTATACATTTATTGTTTAAATAATTGACGGCTAAATGATAATAAAAAAGTTAACAAAAAAGAAGATATTTTGTACGCGAAGTGTTTGCATGCATTGGATAATCAATTTTATGAGACATTACTTCTTCGGTCGAAGACTTTCACCAGAGATTTGGTGCTATTCTTGCTATTGAGAGAGAAATTCAATTTTACACAAAAATCCAATTTTATCGGCAAAACTAAACAGTTTTTTCTCGAGTCATAAATCATTTTTTAAGTCAAATGTTGTTTATTATTATTTGAGAAATGAAATGCAATTTATTTGCATCTCATTTCAAAACCCAAACTCTCATCACATGAATAACATGTATATTATATGACTGTCGAGTATATTATAGTTTGTAAATTAAATATATTGTAAGCATTCACTCAAAACACATTACTATTTGTTTATATTATATAAAAATGTTTTTATTTAGAATAATAATTCAAATAAATCATAATTTTACTGTAAAAACGAGACAATATTTCTTTAACTTTTAATCTTTTTTCCTCTGAAAGTGTTTTTGATTTAATAAATTAAATTTGTTTTTAACGACCGGTTATGAGGAAAAGTATATCAAAATTAGTGATCACAAGACATCAAAAAGTCATAAAAAGTCTTATTTATTGCTATTTTAGCGGTTTTTCAAAAATGTGACACTTTTAGAGCTTTTTTATATTAAATGTTTTATTATTTAAATTTTAATATAATTTAAAACTATTTTTATAAAC